AGCACCAAATACCTCTGATTTCCCTGCAGTTTTAAAGAACGTATGTAAGTGCATCAAACCTTTCTCTGGTTGTCTTGTTCAAGGCATTCAGTGTTAATGCTTTCTCCCTTCCAGGGGTGGACACAGATGAACTGGACAGCAATGTCGATGACTGGGAGGAGGAGACTGTTGAGTTTTTTATCAATGAAGAAATTATTACTATTGCAGAACCAGAGTAATCTAATAAAACTGTGGTAAGATAGCTTACCTCTCAGTGGAGAAAACTTTCTATCAGCTGTTGCTGTACATTCAATAATCCGCTTCAGAAAGTTAGACCTGTTTAGCACACAAGTGAATGTGTTAATGTCTGACTTTGTTATGCTTTCTCTGTGGCTAGAGGGGATAAACAAAAGCCTTTCAAAAAATCCTTCTGTCAGATTTATGAACTGTACTGAGCCAGAATGCTGTCTCTGTCCTGTCTTGCTAGAGTGATTGAACTCATGACAGAGCCAGGATCAGCTTTTAAACACAGTGCTTTTCAAACTCTAAGCTCTGTGGGTGGCAGGAAAAACCTTTTATAATTAGTATTAAATAGAAATGTTGCCTTTTGGAAAGATTTCATGTTGGTTCAAGACTAGACAATTTAAATACTATCGTAAAGACTATAGGAAGTTGACTGCAGACTGATTTAACTTTGAGTAGATTTTTGAATATCCTCATGAGCTCTGCTATCACTTTCTAGAAACATTGGTTAGAATTCAGGTAGCAGCAGATTCTCATGTATTGACTGCTACTGCTTGTTGCTGAATTTTTTTTGTTTAATCCAATGCTTTTCCCAGTTCCCTATTTGTATATTCATATTGTGTATTTATATGTCAAAAACGGAGGCTAGTTTCCGCAACTGATGTAGCATATGTTCTCTTAGGGAGCTTGAAGTTGCTGTATCCAGGAGAGGTAAGATAGTTTGATAGCAAAGGCACTTACATAGGACTTAAGCTCTGTGACAGAACAAGAATGCAGTCTGGGTTTTGAGACTTCCCTTAGCTAACAGGAAGGGGAGACTGGAAGCATACCTTCTGCAGCTGTGAGTCACCCTACCGCTCTTAGGCTCCAGATATCTAATGGAGTGGAAGTAAAATACGAGCAGTGCACTTCTTGTACCTGCCCAAAAACTTAATAGCCTTAGAACATTTAGTATACTTGCATCTAGCTATCCTGATTTACCATGTCCCGTACCTGGGAGAGATCTTATATGGAGGAAAGAGGGAGAAAAACTGCCTAGTGTCTGGATTTAAGTAAGCATCAGTTTAAGAACGAGTGTAATGCACACTTCTAATTTTTCACCAGCTAGCATCTGTGGTAGTGTTGAACTGTGTGTATAAAGTACAGTAACTGGCTCATCTCTTCTCCTTTTCTGCAGCACCACCGTATCCCGTGCTGAAAAGAGGTTCGTTCATTTTCAGAAAGCCTACATCAACTTTGGAATTTTTAATCCATATTCTCGCACTCTGGAAGGGTGGATGCACCAGGTTTTCACCATTTTGACACATCGTAGTGCCTTTAAGTCTTGCTGCCTGCTACAGTGGGATATTGGAAAGGCACTGCTTTTAAATTTTTATTCCTTTCTTTTTTTTTTTTTTTAATCCACTACTACCAGTATTTACTTCCTGACTTCTGTGCAGTGCTTACCAACTGGCAATTTTTCACTATTGCCGGTGAGGTGAGTTTCATCAGTGCACCTCTGTCTTACACACATGCACGATGTTTCTGTTTCAGGACTCTTTTTATGTCCCAGGTGCATGGACGGGTGTTCATTTTGTTTGGGGAAAAGTCAGCAGAACCATTTTTTGTATGATGTGTTTTAGTGTGCTGAAGCAGCACTACAGTGGGCTATATCCTCCTCCTTTCAGATTGTGAAAGGATCTCTTCCCTCAATGAGCTGAATATGGAAATAAAAGCAGACCTATACTAAAACCAGGCTGGCTATGTGTTGTTTGTAGGGAATCCTTCCCTGAATCACCATTGTCAAGCATACCCGGAGTAATAATAGTGTATTTGCTGTATTGAATCCACAGTTGCCTTGGGTTGTTTTTTTTTTGTCTTGGTTCCTCATGGCTATTCTGATTGTTTTTGTTTTGTTTTTAACCGTGATGGTACAACTCATTGATCTTACAGGATGACTTGTTAACTATAGTGGAGTGACTGGAAAATGAGTGCATTTCTTAAACCCTCTTACAAACCGATAATAGCCTCAGGAATTATAGAATTTGTTTGAGGCTTATTAGTGAGCATTGGCTGAAAACTTTCAGAGAAATACTCTCTATACACATGCCTTAGGCTCCTTGTTACATATGTATTTTCATATCAAGAGCCCTCTGTGTTAAGAGGGGAAAAAGTATACTTAAACCTGGTGGAGCAACTTCTTCATATTCATATCTATGAGTAGAAATTCTCTTCTGGATCTAGACAGAGTAGGGAGATTGCCAGCCTGGTGCTTTTCCTTTGAGGGGCAGAGGAGAGAATCAGGATCTTCACCTGTCTCCTCTCCGAGGCCTGCCAGAGAAATTGCTTGTGAGCCCTCCTGACTTTCTCTCTTTAATCTCCCATCTCACTTCAACATAGCAGCTTCTCTGTGGGAGGTAGAGAGTAACCCTCTGTGTGGGGCAAAGGGTAGCCCCACACAGCTGGAGGCAGCCAAGGGACCGTAATGTTTCTGCCACTCACTTTTCTTTGTCCTTCGGTGAACTTCCTGTGATACCAAATGCACAAAGCCCTCAGTTAACTCCTGTGTTCTCTGGGAAGGCACTTCAAAAGGGCTATTTTGTAATTATGATATTGACTTAACATTTCAATAGTTCACTCTTAAATCAGCAGGTGTTTTTCCAGATGTCTGCATTAGTTTCCACTTTTCTGCTTTTATTCATTCAGACCCCATATATACAGGGATAGAGACGATTAAAGTTCTGTCCGTAATATGTACCAATCTCTTAACTGGATTGGGGGGAAAAAAAAAAAATCTTTACTTTCTGCCAAAACAATAGAAAAGGACATCTAGCACATCCAGGTATTCTTCAGTAATGACTTAAACTTCTAGAGCAAAATAATCAACCCCTTTTTTTTTCTTGTAGACCATTTACCAAGAATTTATTAATCATGAGTTTAAAGGGTGTTTTTTGTCTGCCTCTATGCAATGAAGTTTTAGTAGGCTCTTGTCTTTTATTCCTGGTCATTTTCAAAGTAAAAAAAAATGTAATGCCAATGTTAAATGAACTGAATCTTTCTCTCCTAACACTCTTCTCTGAAGTGTGCTAAACATGTGTCTTGATCATCAGTGAGTAAGAAAATCTTGATGCTCCTGTAGGAGCTTTGGAAGCCAACAGGACAGTTGTCCTGACCAGCAGTTAAGGCCTCTTATCTCCAATACTGGTATTTCTGACACTGTTCACTTAAATTGCTGTCTTTTCTGTAGCATTTCTTATTTCAAATGCTTCTTGCAAATTGTGTGCTACAGGCATGGGTACGTATGTGGTAAATTAGTCTACTTGGCGTATCTCAGAATAACACTAGGAATTGTATGGGGGAGGGAGCATCCTGCTGGATGAAGTCCATGTTAGTTTATGCTTCAGCTGCTCTAAGCCATGGCTTTCAGTCTGTGGCCCTTGTAAGGGCTTCTGAAAGATGATGGAGAGAGGCAGGGTTCTGAGTGCTATACGTAGGGAGGGGAGCAGCAAAAAGCTTTCTACAGCAGTTGTGCCTCCACTGAATGCCTTCAAGGATCTAGAACTTGAAGAAAATTGAAGCAGCATTAAGTAGGATAGTCTCATTGTATTTGTCAGTGTTGCCTTTTTAAATATTTTAAATGATTGGCTTTGACTAGCAAGACTAACTGGAACAATTAGTATAATCTTGGTTCCTGAAATTGGGCTAGTCTTTACTTCTACCATAGGCTTTATTTTGAGTTTGTAATGAATAAACTTTCTCAATGATCTTTTAACTACCTACACTCCTTCAATGCAAACTTCACAGAGCAAGTTTTGTTCACTTGCTGCATTGTTTTAACCTCTTAAGTTCTAGTACTTTTTTAGTTAAAAATTTACTGTAACTTTTATGATGAGATTTGACTCTTTTACTATCTCAATAAATAAGACAAAAGGTAAATGTGTTGTGTTTTTTAAATAAGAGATTAGAATGAATGGACTGACCATAAAAATACTGAAGGATTGCCTCCCCGAAAGTGAGTTATGAAATGTCACTTGCATGAAGTGGCAATACCACAGAAGTTTGCCCTTAGTTCAGGGGAGGCAGCAAACTTTTTCTTGACTGTCTCAATAGCTGCTGTTCTTGCACAAGCCTGGAGGGCTGGGATGCTTCCTGTGTGCTGCTCAGCTCAGCCAAACATGGGCCCCTGTATCTGATTGTGCTGGGTTTGCTCCCAGAGCAGGGAGGGGAGGAGAAATCTGGAGTCCTAGAGGCAGAAAATGAAGGATGTGGCCTGCTCACTGAGGGGATATGCAATTAGATTGTATGTGGAAGCACTAATTTGGGCCACCTGGATGCTTGCAGGCAGGTCGGTTTGCTTGTGCCTTCATCTAACATCTCAGAGCTGCTCCTAGCCCCTAGTATTCTCTTGGGTGATTTAAGGGAAGATGCAGCTAGACCCTATGTTACTCCCGGTGTCCTCTGCAAGGTGGTGCAATGGTCACACACTGTCTGCTCCCTGCAGCCTGGCGCAGCAGGGAGCTACTGCAGTCCCTTGTCTGCCCTGGAGCCCGGTCTTTCATTGCTGCCTTCTTCCTGCCGTCATCTCCCACTGGAGGAGCGCACGTGTTGCATCTCCCTTCTTTCCCTCGGGGTGGTCTCTGCTGCTGCTGCCTCTGAACTGTTCTGTCTCCTGCTGCTGCAGCCTCCTGAAGGACTGCAAGCCCAACGTGCACCTCCCTGGGCAAGTCGCCAGCCCTGGGCTAGGGAGAAGGTCAGGAGCCCTCCTGGCATCATCTCGCAGCTCAGCCATGCAGGAGCAGCAGCTCGTGGTGAGTCCACTTGGGGGGGAACATGAGGGATGGGGAGGGGGAGCTGGGTTGTACCCAGCTCTGTCATTCCTGATCTGCTGGACAGCTATCCTGGTGTTTCTGGGCTCTGTGGCCCAGCTGTAGAAAAAGCCCCGTGCTTGCTCTTTTAGTGCAAAGCTGTGTATGATTTCAAGCAAAAACTGAGTAAAAGTAAATACCCTGCAAAGAAAAGTGCATAACAGGGGAGATGAAGCTGGATACCCAGGCAGGTGGTGGTTGCTAGTTTTCCTAGAACAGGGGTTTGCAAGGACTACCTTGTGCCTGTCTTTGTTCTGTGTTTGAGTGCTGGATTATTATAAGCTGCCAAGGACAGCTGGGATTGTAGTCCTCTCCAAGTCCTTACCAGCATCCCAAGAGTTTGGCATTTCTCTGTGTTGATCAGGGTGAGAGGAATGTTTTGAAAGCCCTTCTCCAAGTTTCAAAAGCCTTTCTCCAAGTTTCAATTTTCAACCCTGTGGCTCTCTTTCAAACTCAAGTATTACATTCTTCTGTCTTTCCCTGTGTTGAAACAGGGCGGTGGCATAGACTGAAACCTCTGCTCAGAGTGGAATCTCTCTTCTAAAATAAAGCCAATAATATCTTGAATACCTTGCATTCCTTTCTAACACACACACACACACACACACACAGAATCCTTGATGCTTGGTATGACCTTTCTCCACATGCTGATGGCTTGGGTTTGCTTTTTGTTTTTACCCTCGGTGGCTAAGATTACTAAAGACGGTGATTAACTGAACCGTTCCGGGAAGTTAGGGCCGTCCAGGTGAGACTTGTACTATCCCCTGCCCTGCCAGAGTAGGGATTGTGGTCTGCAAGGTAATGTAATATCTTCAAAGCTTCTAAGTGACAGTAGAGTTTGGCCCATGGGAGTTAAGTGCTCATAACGGCATCATTCAAATGTATTCAGGCAGATGATGAAGCTAACTGTTACATTTTTCTGAATATTAAAGCTATCTGAAGCTAGGGAGCCCATCCTATATTATGATAGTGAAGGGATGTTACTTTGCTGGAGGTACCCAAAAAAACCCCATGTACTGGAGTGTTCTAGAGCTGCAGCTGCTTCAGGAAACCCTCATTAAACTCAGTTGGCTAGACTTACTAGTTGCATGTAACCTTTTAACAAGCCGGTTTAAATAATTGGGCATCCTCCCGATAAGACATCATTTACGTACACTATTCATTGTTTTATCAGGGTTAACTATCCTTTCAGGAGCTGTTAAGGAGATGCTGCTGCCCTTTATGAAGGGGAAAAGAGACACAGAGAGGTGAAAATAGAATTTTTCAAGTCTCTGTTACTTGCTGAGACTCCCAAGGACAGCTCCTAGGTGTGACTTATACTCCTGTTTCTGCAAAATCAGAATTGTTTGGTTTTTTTTTTTTTTTTTGGGGGGGGGGAACCTAGGCCCCAAGGTCCCACGCCAGGCACATAGCTTTAAGACTCTTGGACAGTGTGACTCACCTGCAACTGCAAAGGGAGTTGCAGGCCAAAGCAGGACTCCAGGGTGCCTCAGGATTAGCCCCATAATTGCACCATTATGCCATACTGTTTCTCTATTACTTCTCCTATAAATTGAACAAGAGCCCGTATTTTTCAGCCTGTATGTTATTAATACTGTTGAATGCTGCTTGTGTGTTTGATAAAGTAATCTCTGTCAAACTGTCTGTGTTTCAAGATGGGGTAACCTGTTTCTGTATCAAATTAACCTGCTTGCACTTATCATAAGGCACTTGTAGTTAATTGCGGCTTTATAATAGCTCCAGTCGTGCAATGAATTCCACATAAACAGGCTTCTGTGCACCCCGGGAGCTGCACAGATCACAGCCAACTCGCTCTGATCTCGTTGAACGGGCTCATAATGATCGCTACCTGGGATTAAATGAAATGGGTACTTACTGAAATGCAATTCCCCTCCTTTGTCACCGATAACTTTAATCAGTGTTTTGGGAACACTTTGTGAATGTGCTGAGCTCTACAGCTGCGGGTGCTGCGGTGCCCTATCCCCGAGCGCTCCCACTGACAGCAGCAATGACACGGCTGATTTCATCCTGCCGATTTCTCTGGCAATCGCTTTTGAGTCTTGCTGTGTTACAGACAGAAATGGGGGAAGAGGGAGGAAGAACCTGTCAGGATAAAAGTGCAAATCATGGGAGAATTAACAGTTGAAACTTTATAAACTTCCTTAAACTCTCAAGGCCTTAAACTTCAGGTTTTAAGATTGAGCATTGGAATAGATGTAGTGAGAAGCAAGAGGTGACCCTGGTACTCGCAGGTAAGTCCGAGCGGCCCGAGTACCTACAAACCGCTCGGCCATATGTGCAGGTGGCCCTTCGCGTTCGTCCCATCAGCGAAGCCGAGGCAGAAGAGGGAGCCGCTGTCGCGGCCCACCGGGCGGGCGAGCAGGTGAGGCAGGTGGGAAGGGCGAGGGTGGGCGCGTGCCCCAGCCCAGGCTCCCCGAACAAGCCCTTCCTTCCAAACCCTGCAAAATGCTCGGCCTTGCTGCGATGCAGCAGAGATGCAGCTTTTCATGCAAAAAGCGCTTCCTTTCACTAGTTTTGCATCCCTCACCTCTTGTTCAGGGAGGCAGGGGTTACAGAAGGTCCTGACCTACCTTTTCTACATCATTGCATGTATTTACGTACTTTTGTGTCCCTTTTATTTGCCTCCTTTTCCAATGTAAATCCAACTCTTTTGGATCCAGTTCAGCTGCTCTTTTCTGAAACCTTCCTGAATGCATGCTAACTTTGTGATATCTTTTGTCTCCCGTATGCAATACTCTAGTGATAATAGCTCTCAGAAGCAGAGGGCACGGATTGCTATTTTCCTCTTTATGATTATCTTAAGAATGTAATTCTTGTTTAGTGCATCACTGGCAAAACATCTATTTTTATTTTTATTTTTTTAGCAGCCATTAACCTGACAAGGACGTCAGCCTTATTTTTATGCAGCTTATTCAGACTCATCATCTGCCCTGGAATCTATTTTCCTCTAATGGAAATCTGGGAAGGAAATGTACATGACATTAGGCTGAGTAACCTTTATCTATGAGAATGAGTTTCTCTTAATAATGCAAATGATTGTAATTATGAAAGCAAATGTTAATTGACTGGGCAATTGAAGCCCTTAGATTTCTCAGTGGGTTTTTGGTTACATCATGTTCTTTGCTATTTTTACTCCCAGCTTAACTTACTTAGAGCCACTTCTGTCTGCTTATTGATCCTAAATCAAAATTGACTGTGTTATTGTCTTGTTATCTTCCGCACAATAGCAAAAGATGTATGCTTTTAGAATACCTGCTAGTTAGACAAGGTGTTGGCATCAGATTGCTGCTACTGTCTGATACAAAAACAAACTTCAGAGCAGCTGGAATAGAAGGATTCACTAGGATGCATGGAGGCACTGCAAGCAAAATTTAGACGTTGCAAGGCATCAAAGGGGCCCCAAAGCGTTGCAGATCAAATTTGTAAATAAAACACGCTGACCTCATTCTGCACACTGTTGTTGGCTGGAACGTCACATTACAACGTGCACATGCTTGTGTGTGAGCCTGTCTTGTACATGCAAATGTTGATTAAGAGTTTGTCCTCAGGATGTTTCAGTTCTTAAGGTCTGAGCTGGACCAGCGAGAACAAAAGAAGGGAAAAATGACATTCTGGCAAGTGACAACTTGCTGGTCAGAAGTAGAGATGCTCATTGGAAACTCAGACTTTTGCAGGAGATGCAAAAAAAAAAAAAAAAAAGGGAGAAAAATCAATCAAAGTCTTGACATTTCCAGAATAACTATGGGCACTTGTTCTAGAGGCTTGTTTCTCCTGAGCCAGGCACACCAATGCAATTGTTCCGTAGGTCAAGTGGTGGTTGATCTATGCTTTAGTTGCTTACCTAATGATGTATTTATCAGAGAGTGAAAGCTGCTCTGGAGTATAAGGCACAGGGTTCTCTGTCCCTTCCCTTGAGGCTTGAACACCTCCTTATAGGCTGCTCCAGCAGAGGAGAAAGAATATCCTTCTCCACTATAATTATGTACTATGATAATTATGTATCAAAATAGATCTTAAGGGACTGAAAAGAAACAGAACCAGTTCGGTAACCTGCTGTAACTCTTCTCCTACCCTTATTTTTTCCTAGTAAAAGACACAAATGGTATGAAATTGCTGCCTTTGAGTGATACAGGAATCTGTACCAGTCCTTTTGCAGGAAAGGCTTTGGAAGACTGCTTTGGGCATTTTTGCTTCTAGGAACTTAACAATTTTCCTTCATAGTTCCTCCATCTGTATGTTAGCTGAAAATGAAACTTAAGAGGATCTGTCCCCTCTATTTGCATGGGAGTTAGTTAGGTGTAACGTCACTGTAACTGCTGCAGTCACCCAATGCCAGTGACTCTTTCACTGTGCAACAGACCTTCATAGCATCTTACAGCAGCTACTAGTTTTCTGATGATAGAAGCTGTGAGGTCAGTTGTAAACCAAAGCTCTTTGGCCTTAGTATTGTACATATAAGTGTGTGCGCCACATAAACCTGTTGTGCAACGTTCCTTTGGCCAAGAGATGCTGGCAATAGTGCTGTACAAAATTCTGATAGGCCATTAACTGAGCACCAGGCCCATCTATCATTTCTCCTTCCTTTATTTTCTAGACCTACAAAAGACACACGAGTTCTCCTGGTTTTGTTTTGTGACAGATGGTTGTATTGATGGACCCAAGTGAAGATTCAGACGACATCTTGCGAGCTAACAGTTCCCAAGAAAAAACATTTGTATTTGATATGGTTTTTGACCACACAGCAACCCAGGTAACATCCTTCTCTCATCCACCAAAAGCCTGAACATTAGAATTATTTTCCCTGGTTTGGTGAAAGCTTTTGGTGGATGAGTAGAACTGTGTCCCCCAGGATCCACATGTCCACATAAAAGGTGCTGAAGGAAGGAGGGCTTTAAGGGTTTTCCTTTCCTTTGTTAGAGAAGGAGGGAGATCTGCAGTGCTCAGTATGCCCTCTCCTTTTTGTCACTGGGATTACCCAGAGGCAAGCATCTGAGTAGAGATCAAGGGCCTGGTCTCCTGAGGTGTCCGGTGAATGAGGTCATTGTCACATTGTTTGGCTCTGTAGTTCATGCTCTTTCTTTCCGTTGTTTTATGGGCTAAGGAAACGTGTTTTAGAGCCCTTACTGATCTGTGTTTTGCAGACAGATTTTAAGTTCAGTGTGAAGATTTCATCAGCGCCTGTATTTTGAGATCCTCGTCGTGTGCTTGCTTCTCACAAACAGTTCGGGTATCTGTTCTCTGTTTCACATGAAACTTCAGTGCAGTACCTTTGTATGCTAGACACATTTTTGGAGGCCCAGCGGAACTACTCAGTAGAAAGGATAAGGTCAGGAAGAGAATTTACTCCCTTCTTGAGCAGACACAAATCAAAAACAAAGCATTCCCTGTTCAGAGTCAAAGAAAATAATCACGTTTGAGAGCATTTATTTTAGCAAGCTCCAGTATCTTGCCTGCCTTTAGAAAATTCAATAAATATCTTTGCTTTTCTACTCACTTTGATGGATCGAAATTCAAATGGCTCACGAATAGTTCCAAAGCCCAGGAAATTTGTAGAATATAGTGAGAAAACAATGGGGAATGCAATTAGGTACAGATTATTTGGACAGCTGTTACGCCTGACCAAAAGCTTATGCCCTTTTGACTGAATTAGGAAGTAGTATATGCATCGAGAACCAAAAGCCTGATAAAAGGAGTCATTTCTGGCTACAATGCAACCATTATCACCTATGGTCCAACAGGTAAGGTAGTCCCTGTGCTGTACTGCTCCAGATGGATAAAATATATCTGTACAAACTATAAGTGAACTATAATGCCAATTAGTTGCTTACCTTGAGGACAAAACCAAAACATTAAAATATCATTCTCACAGGGAAGCGTGGATCTTCCCCAAATGCTAAAGCAACAGCAAAGCTAGCCTAACTTTGAAAACTCACTTAATTAGGGTGGAATTCAGAGGAGATTAATCTTCCCATTAAAAAGAAGGAGCAGATGAGGGCATCTGTGTGCAAAGCTAGAGACAGTTTGATCTTAGGGGAATAGATGTAGCTGCAGAAAGAGCCTGTTACTACATTAAAATACATTTCTATCCTAGCTTTAAAGACCAGGCAATTAAATTGTCTACCTGCTGTCCATCTGCAAGTCCTTTTCCTACCCTTTTCAGATAGCACTTGCCGGGTCTTCCTGTGGCAGTGCTACTGAGGCAGGGAGAGGCAGGAGAAACTGGAGGAAGCTAGGGGATGAAGAGTAGAAATCAGTAGGAAAATGGACTTTGTTCATATTGGAAACTTGCTCATATGGAAGTTGTTCTTTGCTGTTCTTTGTATCTTTAACAGGAGCAGGAAAAACCTACACCATGTTAGGGACAGACTGTGAACCAGGAATTTGTGTCCGTACTCTTGATGACCTCTTCAGGGCCCTTGAAGCTACCACAGAGAACATGGATTACACAGTCTCCATGTCCTACTTGGAGGTGAACTGACTGGATGCCTTAGATCCAGACTCTGAGAGTTTAGCAAGTCTCTGGGAGTAGGTTTCCTGGGAAGCAGGGTGTCCAAGACTGCCCATCATGCAGCGCTCCCCTTAGGACTCTTCCCTTATAAGAGGTTATCAAGTGTACATCCATGGGCCAGGTCTGGGCTGTGGGAGTTTTGTTCAGCCCACAGGTTTCCTATGAGTCTTCAGTTGTGTCTACGCTGTGTGCTGGAGCCTGGTGCCAAGATGTTGGGACGAGTGCTAAGCTGTTACACCGTACAGCCATCCTAGTCCATGATGGAAAGCCATAGAACCATGTTAAGCAGCTTTGCCTGGAAATGGGTTGTACAGTTTGAATCTTCCCTTCCTCCTTTCCACCTCAAAGAAACATAGGATCGACTCAACCCCCTTAGCTGATCTAAGGGCTCAATACTAGTCTCACGCCAGCCTCTCTTGCCTCTTATCCTTAGATCTATAGTGAAGTGATCCATGACCTACTGAACCCATCATTTGGGTTCTTAGACCCGAGAGAGGACGTCAGAGGTAGCATCCAGATAGCAGGAATTACGGAAGTCTCCGCTACCAATGCTCAGGAGGTACCTCTCCATGATGAGGAGAAATAGAGGGGTTTTGTGCTCACATGTAACGGTACTTGAAAGTTTCTTGATGCTTTCCTGTTGCCTGTGCCTTCCTCAGTAGAAAGCACTTTGTATAACAAGACTGCGATGGGACTGGATTAATGAAACTGGTTGAAACACAGAGCTAACCTCTTGCTAGCTTTACTTCCCCAGAGTGCATGCTGGTTCCCTGCAAGGACAAGAGTGCTTTGATTTGCATACCTATCTTATGTCAACAAGCTATTTGCAGAGGGAGGAGAAATAGTGGAAATCCTTTTGAGCTACACTGATGTGCACTTCTACACTCTTTTTGATGAGTGTGTTTTCTAAACTGTTTGCTGGCTGGGGTGGGATCATCTCATTACTATGTTCTGCTATACCATATATGGCACGTTGCTTTGGACATGAGATAAATATGCCTCCTAGAGCTGCTCATGAGACAAGGCTGGATTCCCCGGCCTGCTGTGCAGGGTCTATGAAAGCATATCCTCATTTCAGGGTAAACCAGGGCTGTGTCTGTGTCTGTTACTTTGAAGCAGTAGTGTTGAAGCTCTGGCAGCCTAAGAGTATAGGCATGCAAAGCTTGGTGACATACGTAGTATCTTTTATTAGACCAACTAACATCATTGGAAAAAAAGTAAACTAGCTTTTGGGTGCAGCCTTTCTTCAGGTCTGAAAAAGGAGTGAATTTTACAGCTAAACAGAAGCTGAGGACGATTGCTTTGAGTTCTGCTAGATATGTATCGGTATGTCTTCAGTGAGAAAAAGCAGCTGGTACCCGTGGAATAGCAGGAATGTTGGTGAGGTAGAGAATAAGGCAACTCTCTCCTGTGAGAAGGAGAAAACCTTTGCACTTGGAGAGGTGATCTGAGCGGGAGAGATTCTAAATATTCAGTATTTCTGCTGAGACCAGGGTTTTTGGTGTGATGAACCTTAATGAACCTTAATTTTGAAAATTGCCCTTAAAGGAGAGTTATTTAATCTCCTTTAAGAAATGAGATGTCAGAGATGGGCTATCTTTTTCAAGAAGCGTACTTCTACCAGCTTGTGTGCCTGTCTCAGAGAGAGGCTTAATTCTGCACTCCTAGGTTCGTTTGCTGGAGGCATTGCTTTGACATTCAAATCCTGACACTGGTGATGTCGCATGCGTTTCCCAAGTGCAGGCCCCACCATTCTGAAGTGCGTGCTCTGTCTGTCTGTTCCTCCCTCCCTCCTGTCCGTCCAAACAGACCCAGAATCAAGGCAAGAGAATGAAGGAAGGAGCGCACATCAACTACTCACCGCTGGCTCCGGGCAACTGCATCAATGCTTTGAGCAAGACGGGGGGCAGTCGGGTCCAGTTTGTCAGTTTTTGAGACAGCAAACTCACACGCTTGTTGAAGGTACTGTACCCTGCAGGTCAATAAGGAGATTGGCATGTTCATTGCTGGTGTTACCACGCAAATCAGACAGTGCTTGAGAACTGACCTTTGTCATTTGTATTTATCTGTGCATTGTCTTTATCCAGCTAGAAACATTGCTCCAGGGTCTTGCACGGGCTTTGCAATGAAATCAGGACTTGACTTGGACGGTACTATCTGCATAACAAATATATTGTCTTGTGATCTGTGATACGAAGGACAGACCTCCTACAGGGTAAAGGAAATTCTATAGATCTGTGTCATATGTTTTTAATTTCACAAGTGACTGGTGACTTTTAGAAGCTTGTAGAAACTTACGGACTTTGAATGTTTCATCTCTTCTGTCAGATTTGGCTGAAATTGGCCAATAAACGTGGACGTTATTGGGGCAGGAGAAAGAATGACTGGCAGTAACTGTGTGCTATTGTGAGCCTTTATCCTCATAGGAAACGAGACAGACCACAGATGTGCTCTTTGTTATACTGGTTATTTTATGGATCCCTTACGACTTCATACATTAGCCTTACCTTAAGCCTTGGTGCTGAGTCTACTACTGTCTCTGCCTGACAGATGTGTTTCCTAAAGGATGGGGGCAGGAGAAGGGATGGAGGAAAAAACGCTGACTTCTGTTGCGGGTAGAAATGAGAAGCTGCCAGCGTTTTCACGGAAATTGAGACTTTCTTGCAAAAACTTCTTCTTTAGTAAAAAGTTAATTACTTATTGATTTTGGTGTTGATGGAAAGAGGTCCTAATGAATAGCCTTTTACCAGCATTTCCTTCGCTCCTAATTGGGATTCTCCACTAGAATCTCAATGAACTGCTTGCTGGCTACCCAGCCACTGCATTTAATATGGAGCAGTAAGCTGCTGTTGCTTTCATACTAAACACGGCAATGTTGCATTTGTCTAGGGCTCATTGGGGGGAACAGCAGGACTGTTATGATGGCACATATCAGCCCAGCAAGTACCTGCTTTGAAGAATCTCGAACAACCTTGATCTATCCTTACCGAGCACAAAACATCAAGACACAGGTAAAGGAGCAAGCAACCCACAGGAGGTGTTTTATAGATTAAAAGCAGGCAAAGGAGAACTGGAAGATCCAGTAGATGGAGGGAACATTAACTTGAAGGGGCAGTGCTACATGGCTCAACGAGATTGATAAAAGAGTGATGGAGAAGAAAAGCAGGTGAAGGGAACAATCAAAAGGTGGAGGCGTTTTAGGGTACGCCCAGTCAAAAGGTGGAGGCATTTAGGGAGGGCGTTTAAGCAAGTGGGTAGCACATGAGAAAAGAAACATGAAGGATAAAGTGAAGGGGTAGAATAAGACAAAGGCAGAGGATGAAGTGCCAGGTACAGAACAAGATGCAGAACATGAGGAATGATGGATGGAGGACAGTGAATTGGGGATGCCACAGTCGGGAAGCTGGGCTTGGAAGAGGACCTGAGTACCTGCAGGGAGAAGGAATAAAAAAGGGAGGCCTAGGGGGTGAAGGAGGATGAAAAATGGTCGGCAACTGGGTTTTTGATCTTTATGACTTGTAGAACTCTCAGTATTTTCTCTGTGGAAGCCAGGACCCTGGCTTTTCTCTGTTAGCTTTTGTGACTCTCCCAGAATTGGTTCAGGGGCTGAAAACCACTAACCTACAAACAGTCTCTGCAATCATGAGGGCAAGTTCCCCACCCCTTCACAGCGTTCGGGGTCCTGCCAACTGGAAGGGGAGGTTGGTTTGCCCCCACAGTACCAATAGTGGACCGTTGGGACAAACGATCACATCTTCTGTCTTGCCACGTAAAATGCAACCTACAGAACACATTGGCCAGTACACCAGCATCATCACGGACCTCCGCAGGGAGATAGAGTATCTGAAGGCAAGGATTGAAAGCCAGGAGAAAGAAAAAAGCGCAGTCAGATCTCACCCCAGGGAAGTGCAAGGTAAAGCCAGGGCAAGAACTGCCCTGGGGAAATCTGGAGTGACGGGAGTGGGAGAAGAGATGTGCAGCTGTGTGGATGTGTTGTCGCACTGCTTGGAGGTGAGGGGGATGCTGGCTCAGGCAATGCTTAGGAAGGAGCAGAGCAGAGAGTATGGCCTTAGGGGCAGAGGAGGAAGGTAAGAGATCTGAAGCTGTCTTTCTGTGTGAGCCCATCTCTGACGTGTTGTGGGACTCTGGACAACACGGTCAAGCCTCTCAAAGTCTTCCTAATGCTAAAATGTGATAAATTTAATGTACTTGCTCTTGAAAGAGCTTTTACATCAAGTGGTGACCTATGGAGAGGTGATAGAGTTTGTAGCCTGCATCATCTCAGGCTTTGATGCTGTGTCAGGACCCAGAGTGAGCTCCATTGTATGTATCATTGCATTTTATTAAAAAAAAAAAAAAAAAGGCTTTTAAAACATTGTTTATTCTGCCCTGAGGATTGTTCCTGTAGTCAGTGAATCTGGCAAGGAATGAAATAAAAATGGTCAAGTTCTCTGATAGACAAGACCTGAGAGGTATAATAGGCCTCTGCCACCAATACCCAAGGTCACTTGCAGAGAATTTATAGAGGACAAGGGCAGGAACTTGATACTTTCGGGAAGGTGGAGTGTGGAAAGGGGGGAACAGATGTCCCTGCAATGCAGCCTCCTCTTAGTACTCATCCAAGCATCACTGATGAAATCTATTTATTATTATCTATAATATAATCATAAAGGTACAACAGATCTCTTAAGCATATGATTAACTTCAAGAAACTGCAGAACGAAGAGAATTCCTGTGAAGGAATGCCTTGTACCATGTGAACTGAGTGGCTGGGCCCTAGAGAAGTTTCACAGGGACTTGGCATAAGTTGATCTAACCTAATAGATCAGAAACGTCTTCTCCTGCAGCAGAGATGTACCAAGACTCAGAGGCACGCAGTCAGCAAGAAATGAACAAGCTGCGGGTACAATTGACTGGGGCTTTCAGGGAGCAAATGGAGTTGTGCCGCAGCCTGATGGAGCTGGAAAACACCAATGTTGAGCTGCAGGTTGATACCTGCAGGCACCTGCTAACAATCACAGAGTGAGTAGCTCTAAACTCACCATAAAAAATGCTAATGTTCCATGGTTCCCCTCAAAAAATGATTAAAGGATTTCATTAGCAGAGGGTATCTTAGTCAATTTTAGTGGTAAGATCAAGCATGGGATTGAGAGGTTTACCAGCAGGGAGAGAGCAAATGCGGTGCCTGGTGGCATGCATAGGGTCACTCCTCGACTCACTGAAGCTCTGGCTTTCACAGGCCAAGAGAGAGCCCATGTCCTACATCAAACAGGAAAACAGCTTCCTCCCTATATGCATCCCCATGCTGGGGGGAGGACGAGGATTTGGTGGCTGTTTTATGTCAGGACTCTTCAGGAAGAAAAGACTCACCTAAAACTATGTAATTCTTTATCTGATCTTGTTTAGAATTGATAGGTTTCTAACAGATTAGAAAAGCCATCCAAGAGCAACCAAAGGCAGCAGTCTCTAAAGTCAGAAGTGCCTCAGATAGTCCGAGTCACTTAGATACAGGTTTATGAAACTAGAGTCTACCATTTTCCCCATACCTAGCTTTCAGAGGTATCTAGCCCATAAGAAATAAGTACCTTTAATCCCTGGGTACCTTCAAGTCCACACAAATTAGCCTTAGACTAAGGCGTGACATTTGCAACAGGCAATTTCCCTGTGTTTGTGAAGTGTTTTCCATGCAACACTGTATTTGGGCATAATTCCATATTGGAGTCAGCAACATATCATCCTTTCTTCTGGACAAACAATAAGTAGGTGTCAGTTTCCTCTCAGTATTGCTACCTGTACACCTAATGCCTCTGTCAATTTTATATCCTCTTAGGAGTTTGGTCAGTTGTAGCTAAAACAGCCTTCACTGCATTTGTGCAGATGCAATTTGTGATGAGGGAGAGAAAAGCGCTGTTCTCCTTTCCATGTAAGACCATACAAGAGGCTTGTTTTAAGTCTCCCCAGATGTGAGGCTGCTAATTGTAGTCTGCTATATGGTTTGCTCAGCTGCAGAGCAGTCTGGACTAATTAGTTCTGCTGCCATCCAGTCAGAGCTGGAGCAGCACTTAGCAAATGCTCAGAGAAAAGCTCCCAGATGGAGATGACTTTACCCAGACAAATCACCAGTGAGGATCATCGGGAGGTGCCGAGACTCCTTTGTAGATCCCATGAGCTTGAGGTTGGCAACACAGAGCTGCAGGCAAATATACTGTACCAGGAGAATCTATCGTGCCAGAAAGATTTTGTGATACAGCAGCTGCAGCAGCACGTGTTGTTCTGTGAAAAAATTATTCACCAGCAGCAGACGCTGCTAAAAGGTAAAACAGCACCTTTGCTCCTGCTCTGTCGTTATCTCTGAGCTTTGTTTTCTGGTGCCAAGCTGGGGAACAGCCTAGCCAGAAAACCTTGTTTCAAAAGTCACAAATGCACGGCTTCTTTAGAAGTGATCCTTAACTCTTCCTCCCCATCTCCACTCCAGCCCAGGACGTCCCTGTCCCAGAGACACTGGCAAAGTAGCACCACCTGCACTCCTCTGAGCTGGAGGAGGGGACACTGAACTGCCTGCTTCTGCTACATTCAGTGAGGTCCAGCATGCTCAGGGTGAGGCAGAGCAGGCCCTCGGGTTACAGAATCCACAAGGCCATAGATTCATGCAGACCCAAAGCCTGGCTGGGTCTTAGTGCCCATCAGGAGCTGCACAGGGTTTTCCTTTGCGAACGTAGTGACTCCGTGGAGCTCTGCTCTTCATGCCTTCATTTCAATTCAGAGAAGTCTTAAGGCTTTTAGAGACAGAGAAGGAACCGTGCAGGGCTTTGCATAAGCCAGCATGTTCATCCTCTCAACCATTGCTTTGGATTTGAGAGAGGTGACCATAGCTTGGTGGCAAACTGCAACCCAGTTACGGGTTATGTGGCCAAATGTGCAACTCTCCAAGTGATTGCTGAAGGAAGTCCTCCTATTTGGAGGCATCTGCTTGCCCACAACATTGGGCATTGAGGGACTTGGGTCTTGTCAGCAGGAAGAGAGAAGATGCCTGTGAAAACTTCCATGTGTTTTGCGACTGTAAGGGGCTGCCAGGAAAATCTCACAGAGTCCTGAGCAGGAAATCCAAGCAGCAGTCTCTCTTGTCTATTTTGACTATCTTGAATGAATGGGACAAAGAGTTGGGTTCCACTTGGAATAATAAACTTACTGCTTGTCATGTTGTTATACGAGAGATTAAACTACTTTGGGTGCTCTTTCACGAGAGGGGAGCTGGTAGCATGCGGCTGAAACTACTGAAAAGAGCCTGCGGCATCAAGAGCAAGAGTGTCTTTGTGACCAGAGGCTGGGAGCTTGGACTTAGAAGAGGGAATTTTGCAATTTGAAAAATCTGTTCAGGATCCCGCAATTCTTCCCTCTTCCTGCAGCCCCAAGACAGCCCTTTTCTGGATATAACTCAGCATCTGGATCTAAATAAAGATGAGGTCAGAAAGGGTCTACCTGGGAACATGACAGATCTTCCCTGGAGAGGGAAGTTTGATATTCCTTCCATTATCCTGCAGTCAGACAGGTAATGTGAATCTTGCTCGTTATCAGATCTATTCTCTTACAGCACAGTAACCTGGCAATTAATTGCAGAGGTGGTATTAGGGCACTCTGGCTAATGGCAACTGCACTGCAAGACCAATTTGACAGGCAGTTCAAAGAGCCAGAGACCCGTGCTGAGTACTTGTGGGATCTGGGATCATCCCTCTGTTGATAAAAGGCCCGTGTTTTCACCCATATTAATGTATTTGCATATTCTTTCCATAGTGACAGTTACAGATCATCTAAAACTACGCCCTGTAGGAAAGAGGGGAGTCTGGATACTCATCTCAGCCCAACTTTCTCTTGTTCATCCAAAAACCGAGTTCAGCA